ATTTTTTAAGAAAGCCTAGAGCAAGAAAAGCAGCGCAGGGGGAGAACGGAGGTGGGACAGCACTAAGAATAGTCCTTGGTGCTGAGTGACTCACCTCCCCTGTGCTCGCTGGGAGCTGGTGTCCCCCGGGAAGGGTGCGTGTCCCCGGCCGCCTTCCCGTGCACAGCCAGCAGCCAAAGCTTGGGCACAGTGCAGGGATTGCTCGCGTTCCTGGGGGCACGAGGCAGCTTCTCGTGGTGTCTGGGCACGGCTCTGGTCTGCGTGGGGCACCAGAGATGTTATTAGTGCACCCCGAGACCCTCGAGAGAAATCCATACCCTTTGCCAGCTGCTTTTCCCAGCTCAGAGGAGGCCAGGGACCTCGACCGGCCGTGCCCATCCCTCTGCAGCCGTTCCCAGTCAAGCAAGAAACACTCTTGCTGGATCAGAGGAGTGGGAATTGTCCCTGCAGTCAGGTGAAGCCACATCAGAGAAACTGGGAATCATTCTCTAGGCTGCAGAGGCCGGAGAGGGCAGCTCCCACGCCCTGTTCCTGAGAGGCAGCACAAACTACGCTGCGCAGCCGCAGCCGGGTGAGGCAGAAACACAGCCAGGCTGGTTGCCGCACCGGCGGGGACGTGGATTTCCTCCCGACTGGCCTCTGTATCCCCAGGAGCTGGAAACTCGGGAGCCACCCACGTACCCTTCTCGCTAGCTGATCCTCACTGAGTCATCTTGGCATTTGCGGCTCTTCCTGCTTTTCTTTGAGGAAACAGCCAGAAGCAAACCCTGCAGAGTTGCTGCTTTAGACCCCATGAGAGTCTGGGGGCAGCGGGGGGAGTTGTGCAGCACAGGGTGTAGTTCCTTACCTGTAGTTCCTCTTCTGTCGCAGGGTGAGTCCCTTCCACGGCGCTCCGTGTTGCATTTGCTCCCAGGATCTTGTGTCGTGGGCCAGCCAGGAAATATTTCAGCTCTCCGTGTGCCATCCATCCTCCTCCTGACCCCAGGGGCTGTGGGGAGCGCTGGCTCTGGCTTGGGAGGGGGGAAACGAGGGCAGAAAGATGAAGGTACCAGCACGAATCAGGGACCAGAGCCCAGTCAGTGCTGACACCCTCTTCAGCCAAGCGACCCTTGAGTCGTTTGGGGCAAACCTAGACCCGGAGCCAACGCTGCCCCCTGACTCCTGCCCCTTGGTTTCTTTCTCCCAGGAGAGGTAGGCTTCCTTGCGGAAGACCGTCGGATAAAC